AATGCATTAAGGACGAAAAAAAACAGCCTTCAATATTACTTTGACCATGGGACTCTTCTCCAAGGGCCCGTTTACACCATCTCCATTGGGCTGCGCTGAGAAGCCTTCCGAGAGTACGGAACGCAGCTGCTGGTGTGAAGTTGAACTAGCCATAAATAAGGCCTGCTAACACGGAAATGCAAACTGTTCCCCACACTTTGATATTAAAGACACATGAAGGGTAAAAAAAACAAAGAGAAATCTTAAAAGCATAACGATATGCATAATGCTCAGAATGAACACAGTTTTTCATTTCTTAGCTAGCTATTTCAAAAGTAAATAGAAACAAGTTACATAAACCATACACATTGTAAAAAAAGAATATGCATATATGCAAGCAATGACATGTGCGGACTGTGGCTTCTCAGTGGTCAGTATCGAGTGTAGGTGGGCTTCTAGCAGGAGACATCTGCAAGAGCCAAGAATGCAATTTATGTTTACTTACACATATTAAAACAGTACTAGTGGAGGCCAAGACGCTTTCTAGGGCAGAGGAGAGCTCAGGAATGTACAATTCCAGCAACAGTACTCACAGTCATTTGCATCTTACAAAACTAATCCACCATCACCAACTTCAGCCAGAAGTCTATCAATTACAATTTGTGCCAAGGATAAGCAGTCATTCAACTGACAGCATGCAGTTTGTTTTTTGAATGGTGGCATTCATATAATGGAAAGCTTTGAATCTCACACTCTTTCTAATATGACCAAAAGATCACAGAAGGGAAAGAAAAAAAACAGACAAACTTGTGTGTCTGGTTAGAAGATTTGCTAAAATATAAATATCACTATGCTAACAATATAACCTAGCTTAAGGAGAAATTATGTAGTTCTGTGGGTGAGAAAAGATCTATGCGTATCAGTTTAATTTACAAAAAGCTACGTTGAAAATGAAAAGAAATGGAAGCCTTAAGGTTTCTCCCTAAAGACATTAATTGCAAAAGTAACAGGTTCATTCTAATTCCAACCTCTACAGATGCATATACATATCTTCCTGTCTCTTCCCCATTGCTTTGTTCGGCTGTAGGGAGTGAAAGGATCTCTCTGTACACTACAAGTCACAGCTTACACAGGGCTATGGACTATGAAAGTATTATCCTCTATACCCTTGGTTCTCAACTGGTGGGTCGTGACCCAAAAGTGGGTCGCCACATGCCATCCACTTTTCTAGGCGAGAGATTCCTCAGCCTCCTCCTAGCGCCGCACTGTCAGTTCTCGCGCCAAGCAGCCATTTAAAATATGCTGCTCGGTGCCAAGTTTTAGCTTGATTTGGGGTGGGCTAGGGGTATGGCTGCGAGGGATCTTCATCCATACATGCATTGCTTATAGCTTCCTCACATGTCCTGTAGAGTTGCCTGGGCCAGAGTGGCATCACATTCTGGTTCCCGACACCTCTACAGGGCGCACAAAGGAGTTGTACAAGCAATGCATATGGATGGAGCTCCGTCACATCACAGCAACCCACACTGGACCCCAGGCGGAGGATCCAGGCGGTTGCGCTGCCATTCATTTTAATGGTACCCCAAACGCTCCTCCCACCCACAGTTCTTACATCTGCACCAGAATGTGCAGTACCCTAATGCCGTGCACTCCATTGCAGTGCGACTTGGGTCGCGACTTAATGACCAAGGACAAATGTGGGTCCTGAGGTTACACAGGTTGAGAACCACTGCTCTATACCATATTTCATTTGGAACCCAATACTCCCCAAGTGCTGCAGAACTATGCTTTCCTGGGTTGGAAACTTTTTGCAGATCCCTCAATCTATTGTAGTCTGACATCATAAGAGGATTAGCAGTGGCTTGGCTTTTTCCAAAACATTGCAGCTCAAGGCTTGGAAACCTAGGCCTTTAACTACGACACATGCTTAAGAAACGTACTTAACACTTTGTTGTTTAAAGTGGGAGAGTCCTTTAAGTAAAACAAGAAAAAAGTGAAAGCAGAACCTATGTGCTGCAGAACTCAATTACAAGTGCATCTGCAATTACAGTTTTCTCTTGATAACCTGCAAAGTCCCAAAGAGCAAGGATCATAAAACACAGAGGGATGGTCCCTGTGTCCCTCAATGAACGCCAAGAAAAGGATTTGATGGCGAATACAAAAATCCAATTTTCTTTTTAGTTTTAGGGACAAAGGATTCAGAGACAATTGGGATATCCAAAAGCAGGCAAACTGAGGAGTGGGCATCACAGGAAACAAAATGGCAGTTTCTGAAGGGCTGAGATAACCAAATTCAAATCCCATGGAATGATGGGTGAATGCACATGGGAGCCACAAATGAGACACCCTGTAAAGTCTTAAGCAAAGAATGTAAGGCTAGCGGTCATTGAAACAAGATCACAAGCGCAGAGATTCCCCCCTTGATGGAACTCAGGGACAACTGTTGATCCAATCCCGATTGCACAAAAGTCAGGATTTGTCCCCCACAGTACAACCTGGGATAAAAGTTGCCTTGCACCAAGAAAAATGGCATGCCTTCCATGTGCGATAGAAGACCTTGTGGGAAGTTGACTTTCTAACTCTTAGCATCATAGAAATCCCCAATTCAGAAAGACCCCTGTCCCGCAAGACCTGGGCTTCATCAGCCATGCTGTTAAAGCTAGTAATCCTAGACTTGGGTGGTACACTGGCCCCTGGGACAGAAGATCCAGGTGATCTGGAAGAGCCCACAGAGCATCTGGCAGAAGGTTGGATTACCACATCCACCAGGGCCAATCTGAAACTATGAGAATAACTGCAATGTCCTAAATCTCTATCCTGCAGAGCAGATGGTGAAGGAGTTTCAGGGAAGGACAGACATGGATCAGGTTGTACTGATTGCTTAAAGCCAACGGAGCATCCAATGTTTCCACCAGAGGATCCAGCGTCCCCCAACTGTGACACAGATCCTTAAACACTTCTGGATGCATTTCTACATGGGAAAAGCTGACCAAAACGTCAATCAAGGTGGTTTTACTTCAAAAGAATTGAGGTATACTGACAATATATTTTACCTCTGGGTGTAGGGCCCATCCCCACATATCCAAGTACTGCCAGCTGAGAACGTCTGAGTGCTAATTGTCTATGCCTTAGATAGAAGCTGCAGACAAAGCTGGAGCATGAAGTTCTGCTTGGGGCAGAAACCTTTCTAACTCCTTACTCCAGAAGACCCACAAGGACTGCATGCAGGTCTGCTAAATCTGCGAGGCAAGGAGGCTGAGAATGAGATTATAGTTTGTAGCCCATGAAAACCGTCTCGCATACCCAGGCATCTGAGATGCTGTCCAGATGTCCCCCCACTATATACAGTGGGACATCCCTTTATGTGGAGGAGGACTTGTTTGCAGGTTTGGGGGATTTAGGGGCCCAGGGTTTTCCAAGTGGGCTCCTGGCTTGAGTTTGGCCTTAGAAGTTGAAGCCTGTAAGTTAAAATTCTCATTTTGGCCTTAGAGTGGGAAGTTCCAACTTTCCAACTTGAGGCCTATGCTTCTGCTGGGGTAGAGGAGTACTCTTACCCCCAGTGACCTCCTTAATGAGGGTGTCCAAGGCAGTTACTCTAAAGGCATGCAGAGAAAGCACTTTTTACATGCCAGCTCAGTCCAGTTGGAGCCATGTATGGGCTCAAAAGCTATTGTCGAAGATACGTCGATCACCTGTATAAATAGCTGCTTGTAGATGAAGTCTAGATTGAAGTGAAAAAGCAAAAATGGCTAGTAAAAATGATTACACTTTTCTCAGTACAGAAAAGATGTCCTCCTAGAAAACTAGTTAAAAACTGAGACATGCTGGGAGTGGGTGGGGTTATACCGACTAGCCACTATTTGCCAGTGTCTAAATTCTCCTGTATATGGCAGTATAACCAAAATGTCTCTGAATCATGTGTCCCTCAATGAACAAGAAATAAATACTTGTTGAACCTGCCAGTGAAGTCCACCTAATGTAGGCTCCTGTAAAGGTGTGGCAAGGATGTTGCACTGGTCCTCAATAGTATATTTAAGCTCGTCTGTTCTCAAATGTAGTGGCTGCATTAGTTTTCTTTATTTTTCCATGGTAAACCTGCAAATAACATACTTCCTGTACTTGGTTTGCAACGTTCCCACCTCCACTGAATCTGCTGCATGGTTGCCACCCAGCCTGGACATGTCTGGCTTTATTCATCTTTATTACATAGGGTATGATGGGATTAGTAGTTTACACACATAAGATAACTTGCTGAAAATGTTCTTAGCCTGCAGGAAAACAAACTAATGCAGCCACCTCATTAAATGACCCGTAAGCTGCAATATATAACATATTTGTTCCTGCTTTAGTTAAGTTTTAAGTTAAAATAAGCCATGTAGTCGCATACAATATACAGAACAGAATTTCTTAATCGCAAGTATTAACTTACCAACAAATGGACTCTTTCATCTTTTTTCTTTTCTGAAATAAAAGGGTTCCAGCTTTGCAAAAACCCAAGCACTCTCTTGTATATGCCTGGCTGAAGGACAGAAATAAACATAGGGAATCTTTGTGTTACACAGCATAGCACAATAAACAATTACCTTATAAATCAGATATTATTATTATTATTATTATTATTATTATTATTATGTTTGACAACCATTACCCTGAAAAGTATTAGTAATGATTAGTCCTTCCTAAGTACAGGAAGGGTATCACTAGTTCCTAATTAAGTGTGCTGCAAGAACATGTGATATCAAGGAACATGCTGACGGCATGAAAGAGCAGGAGTATGTACTCGTCGGTCTGCTGCGCCTCCCTCATTGTCCAATGAGAGAGCGATGACCTCAGTACAGAAAAGCCAGATTAGCAACCTGGCTGTGCTATCTGGCAAAGTTGTATAGGTATCAGAAGGAAAGCAAATTCCATATTTCAACTTTGAATTTAGTTGTTTGCCTTTAACATTAAACTGGATTTGTGTGTAAAGAAAACATGGCCAATAATCTGTCGTATCATATAAAGTCCATAACACTGTATACAATCAGGAAGAGGGGTAGTCATAAAGGATGTCTAGTTGCCATCGATCAGCAGCCACTGTAGGACTATCCCACTTCTCCTTAATGTTATGTCCCAAACCACTTGAGACTTCACACTGATATACCTAAGCTACCACTACAAATACTTCAAAATCATATAGCAGCTGTCACACACAGACACTGCCCCTGTTCTTAATTGTATACAGTGTTGGGGAGTTTATATGATACTGCAGCAATCAGGAGTGGATGGCCATGGAGCCAGATCAACTGAGTGTGTTCCTGATATAAACATAAGCATCTAGGGACGTTATGTAATATTGCAAATAAACATGCTGTCAAACTGAGACTCAGATGTCCTTGTGTCTTCCCCTGTGGTCCCCCAGGAGGGGTTTTAGCCTTTGGTTTGCAGCCCTCATTACACACATGGTCACGACTGAAAAATACTACCGCTGCCTTCCTGATGAAGCTGACATTGGAATGCATTGAACCGAGCCGCTTCTACTCTGCTGTTTGAACGAGTTACAGTATATGTAATACAAGTGTTTAAGGACCAATGGTGGTTGTTATACCGTTATAATCTATATATGTATATGTAAGCTGGAGAAATGGCAAAGTCCCTTTTATACAAATCTTTTTTTCTGATCAAGTGAATAATAGATGTGGTGACATCACTGGCTATGCACAAAACAAATGGTATCAAGCACACCTCTGCAGTTGTGTCGGCCAGTCCTCGACTTCCATTCTCTGGCAGGCGCTCCTCTGGTGTCACTGCTGGACATATTTCAAAATCTGTGTGTCCCAAATCTTGCAGATACTGGTACAGTGGTGAATTCTGAAAAAAAAAAGAAGGACTTGATTGGCAAATGACAGTTAATGTGTAGGGTCAATCCTGTAGCCTGCTAGAATTATATATATAAAAAAATACAAAATACAATAAAAAGGCATAAAGAAGCATCCCCAAACATTTCTGGAATAGGTTAAAACATACTAATACTTACTTTCCTATATGCTGTAAAAATGCAGACATTTATTACCTGCCTCCTTTGTATTTACAAAAAATAAACTCTCTTGTATGTTCAGAGTCCACTATATACCTTGCGTGTCACTAATCTACTAAATGACATATCAGTCTGGATGTCACAACATTTCTTAAAACTCAACCTTTCAAAAAACTGAGCTCATGACATTTCCTCCACCTCGTGCACCTTCCCCCAACATTTCAGTTGTGATTGATAACACAACTATCCAACCCTCCCCCCATGCCAAGGTCCTAGGTGTCATCCTTGACTCAGACCTCACCTTTCTCCCCCACATCCAATCGCTATCCAAATCCTGCCGCCTTCACCTTCGTAACATCTCAAAAATACGCCTCTTCCTCACCAATGACACCGCAAAACTACTCATACACTCCCTTGTTATCTCTCGTCTTGACTATTGTAACTCCCTCCTCGTTGGCCTTCCACTACACAGGATATCCCCCCTTCAGCCTATCATGAATGCAGCTGCCAGACTCATTCACCTTACCAACCGCCTCAGTGTCTGCAAACCCCTCTGCCAATCCCTACACTGGCTTCCACTCGCCCAGAGGATAAAATTCAAAATATTAACAGTCACCTATAAAGCCATCCACAACTCCGCCCCCGGATATATCTCAGATCTTGTCTCTAAGTATTACCCTAAACGTCCCCTCCGCTCATCCATTGACATCCTGCTTTCCAGCTCCCTTGTCCACTCCTCCCATACTCGCCTCCAGGACTTCTCTAGAGTCTCTCCCATCCTCTGGAACTCTTTACCCCAACCTGTCCGTCAATCTCCCACCTTGACTGCCTTTAGGCATTCCCTAAAGACTCATCTCCTCAGTGAAGCCTATCACACCTCGACCTAACCACTGAACCTTCACATTCTCACATAATTCATTCCCACAGCTACCTCATGTATCATTTCCCCCTCCTCTTTCAGATTGTAATCCCTCAGGGGCAGGGCCCTCCTTACCATCTTGTCTTGAAATTCTATTGTAACTGTAATGTCTTCCTTATATTGTAAAGCGCTGCGCAAACTGTTGGCGCTATATAAAAATACTATGTAATAATAATAATAATAATAATAAACCAGGGAATTATAAATCAAATGAATTCCCTACTGCTTTCATCTTGCCATGGCATGAGCTGGCTTCTTCTAACTTCTCCTGATTAAAGGAGAACTATGAGGAGAGTGCTTTTCACTCACCTCATAGTTCTAGCCGACCTGTGACAATGAGACTGTCACAGGTCGGCTCAGTAGATCGGGAGGTGAGCGAACACATACCGGCGTGCACTCACCTCTCGATCCTGTCACAGCTCTCTGCCGTGACATGGGAGGGGCTGGATTCCCCCCTCCCCGATCCGCCAGCGCTGACTGGCGGAACGGAAGGGGGCGGGTACAGCTGGCTCTGCCTCTGGATAGGCACGACCAGCTGTCACTCACGCAGCTGGGCGGATCCCGGCATAATTGTCGGGATCCGCTTTAGCTGCGGCGGTCTCAGTATATAGTGAGCTGCAGCTCGCGGTATACCGAGTTTAGGGTGACGGGAGGATGCTACTTTGTGTCCTCCCGTTACCCTAAGGAGAACTATGGGGAAAAGCCTTAACCCCATAGTTCTCCTTTAAGTTAATGAAGTGTTAAAATGTTACTAAAATATTTCACTGGATGAGATGTCACAAAGGTTTCCCACTGCCAAATAGTATGCCACTTAGCACTCTAAACCAGAACTGCACAGTACATTTTAGTAAATGACATTCTTAGGGATGAAAAATAAAACAGGCAAGCAGCACAGGATAAGCGTAGGAACCTCTGTGGTTTTTATTTGGGAAATCCCATTTATTTCAAAATCAAATGTTAAAAGGAGCACTATGGGGTCAGTGTTTTTCCCCATAGTTCTCCTTAGGGTAACGGGAGGACACAAACTAGCGTGCTCCCGTTACCCTAAGCTCAGTATACTGAGAGGCCGCGGCTGGAGCGGATCCCGACATCGATGTCGAGATCCGCCCAGCTGCGTGAGTGACAGCTGGCTCTGCCTATCTAGAGGCAGAGCCAGCTGTACCCGCCCCCTTCCGTTCCGCCAGTCAGCGCTGGCGGATCGGGGAGGGGGGAATCCAGCCCCTCCCCTGTCACGGCAGAGAGCCGTGACAGGATCGAGAGGTGAGCGAATGCCGGTATATGTTCGCTCACCTCCCAATCTTCTGAGCCGACCTGCAACAGTCTCATTGTCACAGGTCGGCTAGAACTATGAGGTGAGTGAAAAGCACTCACCTCATAGTTCTAATGACATGCCTTTGATGGCATTATCAAATGTTCCGATTAGATTTTTCGTCTTGACACTTGTACAAAAATCTATCAGTGTGTGGAATTACCAAGCACGGACAACTACAAAAGACTGAAAGTTCAAAGCCTTTACCATTACCATTGTATTAAAGACAGTTTGGGCTGCAGTTCCATGTTCATATAGCTGCGCACTTTCAAAGAATAAAAACAATTCTGGATATTGCATTTCTGGATATACAATAAACCATTCCACATTGATGCTGGTATCTATTTATTTATATTTAAATATTTGTAATGTGTAGAGCTGCAGCTAACGATTATTTTCAAAATCGATTAGTTAGCCGATTATTAAGTTCGATTAATCGGTTAATCGGATAAACAATAAAATACATTTTAAAAAATGGCTCCAGTGATGGACTACTAGTTTGTATTGAGATTGTAGTCCATCACAGGAGCAAGCTTGGAGCGGTGGAAGTAAAAAATAAAAAAAAAAGTGTGGTGTGCAATTGGTGCGCAGCGTGTGTGGAGCTGTGAACAGGGCCAACTGATCGGAAGCCGATTAATCGATTATTGAAAAAGTTGACAACTTTTTCAATAATCGATTATAATCGATTATGTTGATTAGTTGTTGCAGCCCTAGTAATGTGTACTGGTCTCAGTTCCCAACGCCTCAAAGCAAAGTAGAACCACCATGCGTATGTACCACTGAAGTATTTACAAAAACTGTGCAAAATACTGGAAGAATCTGCCTATGTATGACCAGTTTACCTTGCCAGGTCAGGTAGGTGATAGTCACTTGAAGTGGCATGACTCATGTCAGTTTCCTTTAACGTCTTCACAAACTCTGACAAAAACACAGACTTGTTACCAGCCTAAGCTTTAGTTTACTCAGAGGAGTCTTGTTTTCTGGAGTAATTAGTCTGAGAAGTGTAATTTATCACCCAGATCTACCTGTGGTGGGAGGGGTTGCTAGGAATCTATAAGACACATCTGCTAATATAAAAACGTACTTCTTCAGAGTGGAATTTCCTACAGGAAAAGGTCACCTGGCTTACAATACTACAGGTTATGAATCAACCACCAGCAGGTATTTAGCGGAAAGTCAATCACTTTCCTGTTACACAACAACACAATATGTACACAACAGTAACTTTAGCGATACATGCTTAACTGCATAAGCAGGGGTACAGTAATGTATAGTTCAAGAGTCATTGAGTCCAACCTAGACACTAAGGCCTGGTTCACACCTGGGCGTTTTACAGCGCGTTCCTACGCACTGTAAAACGCTCAACATGTGAAAACCAATAATTGCCTATGGGCATGGTTCCCACCTGGGCGTATTTCAGCGCGTAGGAACGCGCTGAAAAACGCCCAAAGAAGTACAGGAGCTTCTTTGCAGTGTATTTTCCGCTCGTATCCATTAGGATACAGCCGGATAGCCATCGTAAACGCAAATCGCGGTAAAAAAAGCGCAGCACAAATTGCTGGACAAACGCGCATATTCCATACGCCCAGGTGTGAACCCAGCCTTAAAAGACACCTTTAAAAGGGAAACTAAAAATGTATAAAGGTTAATTTTATTTTTAAGGCCTAAAAGTTTTAAAAAGTTAAATATACATATATTCTCTCAGGGCTAGTTCACACCAGCCACAGTGCCGGAGCGCACTGGATTACATTCCTGCTGGCTCACTTTGTTGTGGGACGGGAAGGGGCGTGGCGGTGAATTGAACTCAATGGCACCGCAGCCACGCCCTCCGGTCGTAATGCAATCGCCTACACCGGAACGCGTGGCATATCAGCGCCTGCATTCTGGTCCGGTGCAGTCAGAAATAGTAGTGCAGGCAGCATTTTTTCTGACTGCACCGGACCAGAACACGGGCACTGATGTGCCACGCGTTCCGGTGCGGGCAATTGCATTGTGGCCGGAGGGCGTGGCTGCAATGCCATTGAGTTCAATGCACCGCCACGACCCCTCCCAAAACAAAGTGAACCGGCCGGAATGCGTTCCAGTGTGTTCCGGCACCGATCGGGCCAGAACACACTGTGGCTGCTGTGAACTGGTCCTCAGGGCTGCTCCTCTGCTTGGTGGGCGGGGTTTTAATAGCCAGCCTGCTATTGGCCATTTCAAATTGCAAAATTGCAATAGCAGGCTGGCTATTGCACCTGCCACTGAGCAGGGGAGCGAACTTTCTCCCTCAGGGATGCACCTCTTCTCAGTGGGCGGGGCTTCAATAGTCAGCCTGCTATTGCAGTTTGCAATAACCAATAGCAGGGTGGCTATTGAAACTCATTCACCTGTCAGCAGCGGAAGCTAGCCGCAGTTGAATGTGGCTGTGGGGGGGAAGCGGGGGTAATTGCTTAAGAGTTACTGTTACTATTAACTTTCAAGCAACCAGAAACTACAGTAATCCAGCACCTACCAATCCCCATGGGTGCCGGAGTTTACGTTTGTGCTCAAACGTTTGCATACCCTTGGAGAATTGTTAATATACTGTATGTACCACTTTTAGAGAAAACATGAGTGAGCAGGCA